GGTTTTCTAAAAGGTGTCAGGAGGAACAGACCTGTGTCCCGCCCACTTTTTCCCCAATGGGATCTAACGGTGGTTCTGCGTGGCTTATCTGAAGCTCCATTTGAACCCTTGGACCAGGTCTCACTCAAGTTCCTGTCGCTTAAAACTGCATTGCTGCTGGCGCTAGCATCAGTTAAGAGAGTGAGTGACCTAACCGCCCTCTCAGTGGCTCCCGCATGCCTCAGGATCCGGGAGGATGGCGGGTCTGCTGTTTGATGGCCCCAACCCAGCCTTTGTGCCCAAAAGCATTAATGCTTCCTTCAAATCCAGGTCAATTTCATTGGCTGGACTTTTTCCTCCTCCCCATAATTCTGAGGAGGAGGCGGCTTCTCACCTTCTCTGCCCGGTGCGCGCGCTTGCACGATATGTGTCACGCACTTCAGGGATTCGTCGCTCACAAAACCTGTTTGTGCACTACAGGGAGTCTTCCCTTGGTCAGGCGCTGCCGGCCCAGCGCCTTTCACGCTGGCTGTGTGACGCCATTTCCCTCGCTTACACATCATCAGGGCAGGATCCCCCTGAGGCACTCAGGGCTCACTCAGCCAGAGGGATTTCCTCTTCGATGGCGCTCCTCAGTGGTGTGTCAATGGAAGACATTTGTCAGGCTGCTTCATGGGCTTCACCCTGTCCCTTTACTCGTTATTATTTACGAGATGTGTCTTCAGGATCCATCACTCGTTCAGTGCTTGGACCCCAGCAGGCTAAATGAATGCTTATGGCACCTCATTGGCCTTGCTGAGATGGATTTCATCCTCTTGTGGATGATGTTTTTTAGTGGGGGCCCCTCTCTTATCGTGCCTGCCTCAGTCTTTAAGCCTGGTCTGAGGCTGAACGTCCCCCACTAGAGGAGATTTGATTGGGTGGGTCCATTGGTTGTGTTAACCAGTGGGGCGTAAACTCATCCAGCTGCGCTTTATTCCAATAGCAGCTAGCTTAAGGGCTAAGACTAGACAAAATAGAACGTTGGTTACGTATTGTAACCCCAGATTCTATGAGTCTAGTCGCAGCCCTTAAGCCACTGGCCCCACTGGTTATGATGGGAATAAGAGCCATTGGAGGTGAGCAGTGGGGTCACTGCGGTTATATACCACGAGGGGGCCCACTATTGGTGGGCGTACATTTAAGCTCTTCATGATTGGCTGATGCGGAGATCATCCTTCCAATAGCAGCTAGCTTAAGGGCTGCGACTAGACTCATAGAATCTGGGGTTACAATACGTAACCAACGTTTTCCTGGTCATGATCATCTTAAGAGATTTTATTAAAACAGCTAGAGTTTTCTGGTTATCTTGAAAATGTTTTACCTCTCATCCAAGAGACATCTTCATGTCTAAACCTTGGGTTCTGAGCAGGAAGCTTACAAGTAGTGGTCTGAAATAAAAACACTGACTGTGCTACAAGACTTTTTTTTCTCTTAAAAGCTAAAAACAAGTTTTTGTCAAAATTAATACAGACCATTTTAGATTAGGTTACATTTCCTTTATTCCCAAATTATGTAGTTTGTATATGGGATTAGATTTGTGCCAATAGGATCAAGAAAAACACTTTGAAGATCAAAGATATTGAGAGAAAAAAATTTGTTTCAAAAGAAAAACTTACGATCTGAATCAGATTCTAAAAATGATCAAGAAAAACACTTTGATGGTCAAACAAAAATTAAGAAATTGACAGAACAAAAATATTGACTAAAGGAAAAAAACATGTTTCAAAAGTAAAACTTACTATCTGAATCAACTTCTTAAAATGAGTAACAAGGTATGTTTCCTTTTTCTGTTTGCCTCTATGTGTTTTTGTTATCAATTTCCTGTTTTGTTCTCGCTGCTCACAGCTTTGCTCTCACTACCAGATTTGCACTTACACTTTCTGGCTTTCTCCTTTGCAATCCCTGAGTTTTTGGTTGCAATTCTGACACAACCCTTTCGGGTGGGTGGGACTTCTGAGAAGGACAGTGGTTTCTCTTGAGTGACAGTTCAGTGACCCGGAAGTGATGTAGCCTCCAAGACTTCGGTCAACAACATGAATTTTGAGCCCCAAACATGTTATTTCTGCTGTCTGTGGTGTCTACTAAGGATATAAAGTGAGTATTGATAATACATTTGATCTTTTCTTAGTTAATCTGTAAGTTAAGCCACTTTTTAAGTTGGTTTTAACCAGACGCTAGCTCACTAGCTAGCTGCTAAGCAAGTAATTGTGCTAGCCTCAGGACAATGGTCTATTGTTCCACAGAGACGTATTAAAAACACATCTTAACATATTCATTTTTATTCCATGTTACTTGGACGGGCTAAAAAAGTTCATAGTTCTGCCCAGGTTCTGCCTGCTCCTTGTGCTGCGAAACGAATGGATTATATGGTGTAACTCTGACTGAATAATTATCTAAGTGAGTATGTTTGTCAGAACAGGACAAATCAGATTCAATGTGCTTTCTGTCACCCTAAATCAAAGTCAAAGTCAAAATCAGTTTAATTGTCACTTCTGCCACATGTACAGGACATACAGAGAAATGAAATTACGTTACTCTCAAACTCTCGCTAGATAGAAAATAAACATTTAGTATAAAAACAGTAACCAAGTTCAGAGAGACTGTGGGGGAAAACAGAGGAGAGTTGGGAGAGCTGGGAGGGAGTTTAGCTTCCTGACTGCCTGATGGATAAAGCTGGCCTTCTGTCTGTTGGTCCAGGCCTTGAGACTCCGCAGTCTCCTCCCTGACGGCAGCAGCTCGAAGAGGCTTTGCATCGGGTGAGTGGGATCAGCCGCAATGCGAAGGGCCTTTTTTGTGAGGCGGGCACTGTAAATGTCTGATAGGGAGGGGAGAGAGACCCCAATGACCTTCTCTGCTGCTCTCACTATACGTTGGAGGGTTTTAATGCATGAAACGTTGCAGGCTCCGAACCACACAGTGATGCCGCACGACAGGATGCTCTCGATGGTGCCTCTGTAGAAAGTGTACATGATGGGGGCTGGTGCTCTTGCTCTTCTACAGATCCATATCTGATGCTTTTATTGCTTAAGTTTGTATGAACAGTTTATTTGATGCCACTTTTACATCTCTGAAGTGAAACCGATATCACATAAGCACTTGAGGAAGTGGGACACTAAATGTAAACAATGAATAAAACAAAATTGTATATTTTGTGAGGTACTGGTTAGAGATACGTAGTTGGGAAGCACTGATCTAGGTAATGCACCATAAGCATTTTTATTTTACAAGCTTGTTTGGCATCGAAGTAATTAGAACCCTCTTCTTTTTCTGTCACACCTAACACATACATAAACGCACACCAATTTCTGTCACAGCTGATGCCTTCATTAAATCTAATAAAATCTATAGTACCTAGTCTGGTGACTAGTGTCTAGTTTAGCTACATGTAGCTTAGCTGGAGTAATATAGTCTAACTCTGCCTCAACTGGTGACTTTTCTGCTTCATTGCCACCCAGACAAAATGTTGCTACAGAGAAACGCCCAAGGTACTGACCCCACAATAGAAAATCATAATGTCCACATTTATTTCCCACAATCTCAAACGTCAGACGAAAATTAAAAACTTTCAGCTCTGATTTAATTATTTCCTTATTAATATCAGTTTTCCCTTTGTTGTAGGTAATCGTCGAGTGTCAGCAGGAGGTGGTGACCACCTGCATAACGAAGCACCCTGGTTCTGAGCCAGTTGCACCTTTGTGCAGCTTTGGGGAGCCAATGCTCAGCAGGTTAAACAACTGTAAAATTGATTTTGTTCATACCTTTTGTTTAGAACTCATACATCACCAGTTTTTCTTTCTTACAGACACATGCCTCCGTGTGGTCAGGTGGTGTTGGTGTGATCTGGGAGGGCACACTCATGTCGTCATCTCCTCATGCCGTCTCCAGGATGATGAGAGTTTTCTGTGCCTATAAAGCAGGGTATTTACTTCTGGTTCTTGGGGGCCGGTATCCAGCACGTTTTAGTTTTAACTCTGTTTCAACACACCTGATTTCAGTCAGCAGATAATTAATGTAACGTGAGGAAATATGGGTTTTCTGTCACAAAGGTTATACTTGGCTCGGCTGGGTCAAGAGCTGGGTCGCTGAGAACTTTCACCCACAGATTAAGACCTGAACGCCAGCGAGTCTGGGAGAAACCATAACATCTGAAAACCTGCAGTGCCAGAAGATGGGTTCTCATGGAAAAGCTAGTCATAACATAACAAGTCTTAAACTTCCTTTTCTTTATTTTGATGTTAAAGAATAATCATTATCACTTTGCTCATTATTAATGTGTTTTAATCAAATGAATGATTATTATGCTTTGAGTAATCATAATAACTAATGAGTCAATGCTTAATTAAATAATGTTTGAAGATGTTATAATGACCTTCACACACACACACTCTCTCACAGTAAACTCCAAAACACATTTGCTCTGACGCACACGTTTTGCTTTGAGAAGAGAAAGGCTTTTGGTAAGTTTCAGGCTTATGATTCAGTTCGAGTTGGACAACGAAAGAGGGAGGACTTGTAACAACGCCAACGGGGAACGGAGCTGCGCCCCCCCCCCCCGCTATTCCGGTCAAGCCAGACAGGAATAGCTGAATTGCAACCGCTAACGCAGACTCGTCCAGAGTCTTTGATTTTCTGAGTAATTAAACTTAAGAAAGCGCATCTGCAAACGCTTCATCATCACGTGTACCGAGGTCATCTCTAGACCGGGTCGCAGCACGCCTTCGTCTTCTCTGCCAGCCGAGGTGTCACCCCTGGATGAAACATCGTCCTTTGACGTCCCGGGTCTAAAAGAGGGTCCGAATACGGTGAGGCAGTCCACGAGATAGCGTTTGATGCATATTTTCCAACAAAACCTAAGTTTATTCAAACCATCACTTTTCACTCAGACACCTGTTTCTTCCTGAAGCAAAATCAGATGCACACACACATTCATCTCACCTTATTCTCAATTTTCACTACATTTCGCACACACGCATCCATAATCACATCACATCACACTGAACCTTCAGCACATCCCACACCAGGTCTATTTGTGCAAGCTTACAATATCAACTGTTAAAGATTGTTCAACAACGTTGCCAATGTTGATTGTTGTTTCCTATGCTTGGCATTTCAAAGTCATTAGTTTAATTTGAAGAATTAAATATTTTAACTTTCAACTTGTCTCTTCATTGAACTGAAACACAGACCCACGGATATTATCGACAGTTTATCGATGAAAACAACCTTTGAGTCTTCTTAAAACTATAAAATATGTAGGATGGTTCCTCGTTCATAAAAGAGCATAAACCATTACTCTACATAATTAAAAGAGCCTATTCGGGTTCACTACATTAACATGCTTCTGCAGAGCTGCTGCACAGGTAATTCAACCACTGATTCAAGTGTGTTGGAGCAGGGAAACAACTAAAACGTGCTGAATACTGTACAAGCCATCCAGGACTAGAATTGAATACCCCTGCTATAAAGCCTTCCTCCCTCCTCTGGACTTTAAACATTAGTATTTTATTATGATTTACCTGATTTAATAAATAAATCTCAATTTATAAATTTCCTGTTTTGGTGCTTGTCCATAAAATCCTGCATTAGATGTCAGGATTTGATGTGGAAGAATGTTTTAGGACCCAAAAATGCAGAAAACCAGATGAACGAGGCAGGAGGTGGATGATGAAAATAAAATCCTTTATTAGGAGTAGTCCAAGAAGCAGGGAGCCCAAACCAAAAAATCCAAAAATCTAAACTGAGTAATCAAAAACTTCAGAGAACTAGAAACACTGGAAAACACTGGAATCACTAGAAGCTAGGAACAGGAACGAGACGAGGCTGACAAGAACAACGAGCAAACATTAATGGACCGACAAGAACACAGAGACTGACAGGGCTTAAATACACTGGGAGAAGCAATCAGGGAAACAGGAAGCAGGTGTGTGGGGTGAGCTGCTGGAGGGAAGGCAGGTGACACTAATCAACTCAATGGGGAAAACAGAAACAGAGGATGGCAAATACCTCAACACAAAACTAAACAACAATTTCCTAAAGACAGAGGGAAGGACTCACACAAACTAGCTGGAGGACAACGAGGCTGGTGATGACCTGGGAGGAACTAGTGAAAAAGATATCAGACACTAAACTGACACACAGAAAAAGGACACAAGAAGGCGCCAAAGGGCTACAACATAAAGATACATAACAGGGATGCAGACAAAGACACATGAGGGCGCTAAGAGAGCACAAGAGAAGCTGGGGAACAAAGGGACACAAGAGGGAATCTAGAGAGGGATGGAGGACACCAGGAGGCACATAAAGGAAGGGGGCTGACGCAGACCATGACAGTACCCCCCCCTCAAAGGGCAGATCCCAGACGCCCACAGGAACCAGGAGCAGGGCGGGAGGAGGGGGACCCAGAGGGAGGGCCCAGAGGAACTTAGGGACCACAGGAGAGGCGGCAGGGATCAGCAGAGTCAGGAGGCCTGCCCCTGCGGCAGATGAGGAGACGAGGATGGACCCTTGGGGGCCTGCGCCTGGGGCAGATGAGGAGGCGACGACAGTCCCTTGGAGGGCGGCGCCTGCGGTAGAGGAGCCCTGCAGGCTGGGCTGGGGACACAGGCTGGACCGGTGCGACCTTCAGAATCACCACTGGAACTGGAGACAGAAGAGACCTCAGACCAGAGGCGACGTCGTCAGACGAGCCGACATCAGGGGAGGCGACGTCGTCAGACGAGCCGACATCAGGAGGGGCGACGACTTCGGCCACGTCGTCATCAGGAGGGCCGACGACTTCGGCCACGTCGTCATCAGGAGGGCCGACGACTTCGGCCACGTCGTCATCAGGAGGGCCGACGACTTCGGCCACGTCGTCATCAGGAGGGCCGACGACTTCGGCCACGTCGTCATCAGGAGGGCCGACGACTTCGGCCACGTCGTCATCAGGAGGGCCGACGACTTCGGCCACGTCGTCATCAGGGCCGTCGACTTCAGAACAGGAAGGGCCGTCGACTTCAGAACAGGAAGGGCCGTCGACTTCAGAACAGGAAGGGCCGTCGACTTCAGAACAGGAAGGGCCGTCGACTTCAGAACAGGAAGGGCCGTCGACTTCAGAACAGGAAGGGCCGTCGACTTCAGAACAGGAAGGGCCGTCGACTTCAGAACAGGAAGGGCCGTCGACTTCAGAACAGGAAGGGCCGTTGACCACCATCGACGTCGGGTCCAGGGGCGTTGACTTCTGACCCGGGACCCCATGGATGGGCTGGACCGGAGCCCGTGCATCCTCCTCTGCCGAGGCAGGGTGCGATGCGTCCCCTTGGACCACCGCTGGAGCAGGAGGCGATGCGTCCACCGGGACCACCGCTGGAGCAGGAGGCGATGCGTCCACCGGGACCACCGCTGGAGCAGGAGGCGATGCGTCCACCGGGACCACCGCTGGAGCAGGAGGCGATGCGTCCACCGGGACCACCACTGGAGCAGGACGGTTGCGGCGTCGTCGGCGTGGTTTTTTTTGGCTCAGCTGAGGTATGGAGAGGACACTGGCAGGAACTGAGGAGGAATGACAGCCCCCCGGAGAGTAAGTGGTGGTGCTGTCAGGACCTGGTGAGGGTGTGGCGGTGTGACCCATCTGAGATGCTGAGGTGGCATAAGCGACTAGTGGAGGAGGATCTGGGCCAAAAGTGCGGAGGAGCAATGCAGCAAAGTCCCAAAACGACACCGCCCTAAGATCCTCTATGTCGAAGTGGTCAGCAACCCACTGCAAGGCTTTACCCCTCAACCAAAGCACCATATACGACACCTTGTCGAACTCTGAGGATTTCAAGTCCAAACAACGGGCACAGGTCCGAATGAACTCCACACAAAGGTCTGGATCACCATCGTAATAGATCTCCTGTGTACCTGGAGTTCCCGCTGGGTCCTGTGTTGGTCGGTCCATTCTGTCAGGATTTGATGTGGTAGGATGTTTTAGGACCCAAAAATGCAGAAAACCAGATGAACGAGGCAGGAGGTGAATGATGAAAATAAAATCCTTTATTAGGAGTAGTCCAAGAAGCAGGGAGCCCAAACCAAAAAATCCAAAAATCTAAACTGAGTAATCAAAAACTTCAGAGAACTAGAAACACTGGAAAACACTGGAATCACTAGAAGCTAGGAACAGGAACGAGACGAGGCTGACAAGAACAACAAGCAAACATTAATGGACCGACAAGAACACAGAGACAGACAGGGCTTAAATACACTGGGAGAAGCAATCAGGGAAACAGGAAGCAGGTGTGTGGGGTGAGCTGCTGGAGGGAAGGCAGGTGACACTAATCAACTCAATGGGGAAAACAGAAACAGAGGATGGCAAATACCTCAACACAAAACTAAACAACAATTTCCTAAAGACAGAGGGAAGGACTCACACAAACTAGCTGGAGGACAACGAGGCTGGTGATGACCTGGGAGGAACTAGTGAAAAAGATATCAGACACTAAACTGACACACAGAAAAAGGACACAAGAGGGCGCCAAAGGGCTACAACATAAAGATACATAACAGGGATGCAGACAAGGACACATGAGGGCGCTAAGAGAGCACAAGAGAAGCTGGGGAACAAAGGGACACAAGAGGGAATCTAGAGAGGGATGGAGGACACCAGGAGGCACATAAAGGAAGGGGGCTGACGCAGACCATGACATTAGACACTGAAAGCTGAATGGATGCCTTTCATTCACGTTGACATTCAATGTATTTTTAAAGATACACTTGAAATTAATATCAGCTGTTTAACAGAGTGGTGCAAAATAATTGCTAATGTCATGATTTTTGCAACAACCTGACCATGCAGAGAAACTCAGGAGACAAATGCGCTAAAAACAGTTTATTAAAATGTTTGACGGATGACTGAAGAGGTAACTGCTGGAGATCAGGAACCAGAAGCTTCTGCGAGGAAGAGCAGAGGCAAAAGGTCAGGTTTTTCTTAGACTGTGCAGGTAGCTTACAGAGACTGAGAAACGCCACGGAGATGGAGCCACAGGTTTTAGTGTTTAAAGATCAGAAGGCCCTGAGGTAAAATTGAGTGTTAGTAATGACTAAAGAATGACTTACAAAAGGAAAAGTTTACGTACTTACGGTCTGAAGTTGTAGCGCAGACGGGAGACAGCAGAATGGTGGAGAAACAACCAGAAGTCTGGGAGAATGACAGCATGAGTTGCAAGCGGGTGAGCAGAAGGTAGTGGGCCGACTGCTAGGTTGTGTGATCAGGAGCTTCAAGGAAAGAATTTCCATAGATCTGCATAGAAAATGAGAACGTAAGTTTGAAAAACGGCAGAGTCATGGGCTAGATATGGGTTAAACACTCTGATGAGTGACCAGCTACCAGCTTTTATTCAAGGATGGGGTTACAGGTGTGTGAGGATGTGCCTGCCCCATGAGAAGTTTTCAGGTAAGCCTCTCAATGGTGCTCTGCGATGGTGACTAGCAAGGCTAAGGAAGAGATTAAAAGGAACACAAACCCAGGACTCCGACCCAAACTCCTGACAGCAACACAACGACTCCTCCAACAGGCGGTTGCTCCACGGGAGTACAGTCACACGCAGCTGCCTGAAGTTTAGCATCAGGCAACCTGTAGGCAATGTAATCATACGTGGCTTCTGAGCATGCAAGTTTACTCTAGCTGTACAGCGTACAATAATAATAATAAAGATTTATATTCTGTTGTGTTGCTCACCTTACAGATTATTTTAAAATTTTAACCTGTGCCTGCAGGTCTTTCAGGTCTTTTGAACTAGACACAGAAAGGTTCAGGCACAGGTACTTAGTAGGACTCCTGATATGGTAGAGCATCCACCGACTCGAACAATAGGTCCGTATGCTTGTCATCTGGAAACAAAGGAAAACGATTACCATTAGTACAGATATTTATCCATAACCATCACTGTGGTTTTATTATATAGCATATGAAATACATGAGGTGGGATTGGTCTGCAGTAGGGATGTGTATTTTTGACTGAATTTATTGTAGGAATTAAAGCCCTGCACTGAAGCCCTAGGCCCTTGGGCCGGGCTTCGGGCCAACGACTGTGCAATTACCTCGGACACGGGCCGGGCGCCTTTATTTTTAATCGAATTCATAAAAAAATTGAAACACAAACGCAGCAGTAGAGCCCTGCGCGGGACTGTTTTCTTCATCCCGCTCCCGCTGAATTTCTGACCATTACCACCTGCAACCGCAACGTGTGTGTTACACTCCCGCCCGCACCTGCAGCATGCATGTCTACTCCCGCCCGCAACAGCAAAACTCGGAGAAATTATTACCTCACCATAAAAGAGATGTATTGAGTTTGCATCCTCTCTGAACCTGGAGAAAACATGTCACAACCCGCGGCTCTTCCATCCATCTGATGCGGCTCTCTGTGCTTGTAAAATAATGAATGGATATTTAAATAAAATGCATTATATTTTACTGAATTAATTTTATATCTGTAAGTAAATTCTATGTAAAGATTGTCTGCGTAAACCTGAACAGGTCCAACCCAGTCATACTGTGAGACCGGGTTGACGGGTCACGCTTGTGCGTAATCATATCGGCGCATTCTGAGCTGAAGATGTCAAATTCTGGGCTTCTCCTCAGACGGCTCATGGATGCGTCGCCAAATTGGAGACAGGAACAAGCACTATTCAGCCAAAGTTTCATAATCAGGGAACATTTTCTAAGTGACAAGTCTCTCTGAGAGACAGGGTTTGGAAAACACTCGCTTCAGTGGGAGGAACCTTCCCGCATGCGCTCTGATTCTGCGATGCGCTCCAAGCCAATCTCCACAACTTCAGCTCGCTGTGCACCTATGCGCTGACAGCGAGCTGCGCTGAGCAGCTCAGATGTTCAGATGGGAATCTTTTAGCTACATCTGCAATGTGCGTAACGAATAAAATGTCAGTTCGTCTGCATGCGTCGGGGTAATTCTTTCTATTCTTTCTCCGTCAAAATAAACGGTCAAATACGGGAACTATCCGGTCAACACAAGCCCTGCTTTTGACTGTTCTGTTTTCTTGTAAAAATTGTTGGAAAGAGATAACATTTAACTTGATTAACACCAGAGCCAGTGCGCCGTCATCTCCGTGACGGTAAATGAGGGAAAAACAAATTGATCGGATCCTGCACGTCTTTTAACACATTGATCAGGATTGACGCACTTTGTTTTCATTTAGTTGGTTAAAAAAAAGTCGGGCTCGGGCTGGGCCAGAGAATCCTGAAAACCTTTTCGGGCCGGGTCGGGCTGGGGCTGCAACCCCTTGGGCCGGGCCGGACACGGGCTCAGATTTTAGGCCTGTGCAGGGCTCTAGTAGGAATATTCAATAAACAGTCCAAACTGATACTTAACATGTATAACATGAGTTATCTGAACCATAATAGCAGGATTTAAATTTCAATGGTGGAAACAAAACCCAATGCACACTGCTGCCAACTAGCGGTCGACATTTAATGTGCACCAAAAACAAAGAAAATATACAAATGTTTGCATGTAAATTCTTCCAAAAATTAGACACACTGCTTTTGAAAATGGATGTAATATCTCAGGAAAAAATATCACGATATATTGCCATATCGATATTTTAGAGACACAGTTTGAGAACATCGATACAATATCCCTGGGAAAATATATCACGATATACTGCCATATTGATATTTTCTTACATCCCTTGTCTGCAGTGTACTTTGTGTACACTATGGTGTGTCTTAGCTCACCAGCTGCAGTTGATGCATGTGGCCATGTAGCACTTCCACTGTGATGCAATGCAGTAGTTTTCAATCTAAAGAGAAAGAAAAAACAACAACAAAAGAAATAGCTTTTAGACAAAAATATAGATTTTATGTAAAAATCAAATAATTAAATGCATGTATTTAACTCACTGATCATCTGTCCTGGATAACATTATTTTGATGGATAATACAGAGCATGTGACAGAAAGCACATTGAATCTGATTTGTCCTGTTCTGACAAACAAATGGCAGATCTGTATACTGGTAAGAAATTTGTTTATCAAATGTAGCGTTATGAATATTATAATTGTCTGCCCTTAACAGCTGCCCCTTCACACAGTAACATCGCCAAGGTCGGACGCTTGGTTCAGTATGTTTACATTCCAGGAGAAGAGACAGAGGAAGAGAAGAAGAACGCTTTTCATTAATTAATCAAAGTACTTTATTTGTGATAAGCATATGTTGATCATTAATAATCAGGTGAATGATCTGTGAAATAAAAATGTCATGAGTTATGTGTTTAATGAATAAACAGGACTGCACCAGACAGACTGATCTACATTACCATGGAAACGCATGACACATTGTTTTCAACCAATCAGAACTTTCGTCTGTCGTAGAGAGAATCTGGGATGTTTACTTAATCTGTCCAATCTGGTTTACTAAGATTGGTAAACAATTAGGGGATATAAAACAAGGCAACGCCATTTTATACTCAGTTCCATGCTAACCTCAGTTCCGTTCATCTGGAGGTCCTAAGGATTTCCATCGTCAACATTAAGAAAGTTACAGGCTGGCCAGCTGTACTTTCTACTTTAAGCTGAGAACTGTCAAGCTGGAAATTTCCGTCGTTTGAACAACTAGACGACGTTCCTTCAAAATAAGAGTGAACTTGCTGACGCCTGCCGACTGCTACCGGAGCTGACCCACAGACGGGCTTTGTAGTGCTGCGACCGCTGTTTCACCAGCTCCGGTACATCCGAGGTCCGAGGACCTGGCATTTCCTGATCTACACGGGAGACTCCATAGGTACGTGGTCACGGCACAAAATGGCGGCTCATGTCATCAGCGTCTGAAGCCTCGTGGTAGCCTAGTCATAACAACCAGATTCGCTACGTCAGCCTAGAGATTCTGAACAACACACACACACACACACCAACACGAAACATCCAAATCCATATGCATCCATCATTGAGATAGTCCTGGTAGATTGTAAGAATTTATAATTATAGAAATTAAAGATTCTTAAACGATCCCAACTCTCTCTTTTCTTGTCTCTCAATCAATACAGAGTGTTTAAGTAAACTCCCTGATGATAAAAACAACCCTTCTGATTATAATACTTAGATCTAATTACAGTGTATAAAAATATCAAACTTCAGATCATTACACAAACATAATCAATTAGATAATTATTCAGTCAGAGTTACATCATATAATCCATTTGTTTCACTGCACAAGGAGCAGGCAGGACCTGGGCAGAACTATGAACTTGTTTAGCCCGTCCAAGTAACATGGAATTAAAAATGAATATGTTAAGATGAGTTTTTAATACGTCTCTCTGGAACAATAGACCATTGTCCTGAGGCTAGCACGATGACTTGCTTAGCAGCTAGCTAGTGAGCTAACGTCTGGTTAAAACCAACTTAAAAAGTGGCTTAACTTACAGATTAACTAAGAAAAGATAGAATATATTATCAATACTCATTTTAGATCCTTAGTAGACACCACAGACAGCAGAAATAACGTGCTTGGGGCTCAAAATTCATGTTCTTCTTCTTCTTCTTTTGGAGTTTTAATGGCAGTTGGCAAACAACCAATGGTCCATTACCGCCACCAACTAGTGTGGAGTGTGGTCTGGAACAGCAGCCTCAAAACAAAACCAAACAGGGAAAGAAAGAAAAGTGTACTGTTATCGCTACGTGTTGGATACACCGTGGATGTTAACGCAGGTCAACAGCAAGCCAAACTCATTTTTCATGAGCCAGGAAACTGAGCGTCTTACTCCTTTATTACGTTCTTCTCGACAGCTTACAATCTTTTACAATTGTGGCTTGAATAGCTCGATGAAAGTGCTGAGTGAAACTGAAAATAAACCAGAAATAAAATATCATTTAGCTCTTTAACATGTGAAATAAATGCATAAAAAGAAATATCTATTAATATAAAACATGTTTCAAAGTTAGTCTTAGCTGCTAAGTAATGAAAACAGTAGTTTGAACAATCCTCTGATATGCAAATTAGGCCGCTAGCATCATTGCTATGTTAATAGACCATGCTCTAAGCAAAAGCTGTTTCTGGGATAAGGCTAATTCCTGGAACAAACACATTCACAAAACGATCTCTAAATCAGCTGTTATGAACATATAAATCAACCAGAACATGTAATGAACTTACAGTCATTGCTTTCGATGGTGTATATAAAGATTCAGGGCACAGGAGATGAAGTTTAAACACGGATAAGCAGGCTTTCTGTACAACGTTTTTTCCCAACTGACTGTAGCTTCTGCTTCCCACAATGCATTGTGAACACAGATTACACCTTCAAAATAAGATACAGAAAAACTAATGCTGACTGTATAGAAAATATTTTTAACTAAATGACTCTCTTTTTTAACATCAATGACCACAGATGAAATATGACATTTTTATCACTAAATTATTATGAATCATTTTTAATCTTTTACTTGGGACAGAACACTCCCCGCCTGGCATTACTGATGCCACCACTACTTTTTATGAGTCATTTCCTTTTCTAAGAGCACAACAACATCTGAAATGGGACGCAGGTAAGTCTTTGAGACTCCCTGGGAAGATGTCCTCACTTCGACCTTTCTGACCTTCCCATCACGGCTTGGAAAGGTCGCCGTGACAATAGCCATTGTCCATTCGTTTCTGGGTGCTTGATTGTGTTTCAACAACACAATGTTGCCTGACTGAAGGTTGCGGTGTGTTCCATGCCACTTGCGCCTTGAATGGAGGGTGTTGAGATATTCGTTTCTCCAGCGACTCCAGAAACCATTGGCGAGTGCTTGCACTTGTTTCCATTGGTTTTTGAGCAAGTCTTTTCCACAAAGGTCTCCTGGTGGAGAAGGAATGCCCTGCTTTTGGGTCAGTATCATTGCAGGACAGAGTATGAATGGTGAGGAAGGGTCAGTTGAGATAGGGACCAAGGGCCTTGCATTGATTATAGATGATACCTCAGCCATTAGGGTACAAAGCACCTCATGTGTCAGATGGGTGTGCTTGTTCTGCTAGAGCATAGAATCCAATATTCGGCGAGTTACCCCAATCATCCTTTCCCAGACGCCTCCCATGTGGGAAGCATGTGGGGGGTTGAACTCCCATGTGCAACCATTGGCGTGAAGATGGTTGACAATGTCGGGAGGGTTGTTGTTTGGTTGTGCCATGCCAAGCTCCACGCTTGCTGCGATGAAGTTGGTGTCCCTGTCTGACTGCATTTGCTTGGCTGGGCCTCTTATTGCAAAGAATCTGCGTATTGCATTTATGCAGCTGCAAGTGTCCATAGATTCAATGACTTCGATGTGTACACCTCTTTTAATCATGCATGTAAAAAGTATTGCCCACCTCTTACTTTGTGCTGCGCCACCTCGTGTGCGTCGAGTGACCACTGACCATGGGCCAAACACATCCAACCCGACGTATGAAAATGGAGGGCATGTTTCAAGTCTTTCAGGTGGGAGATCTGCCATTTTTTGAGTCTCTAGTTTCCCCCTGAGTTTCTTGCATGTTATGCAGCGGTGGATGATGGATGAGACCAGTCTTTTACAGCCTACAATCCACAGTCCAGCTTGTCTAACTGCACTCTCTGTGAACTGCCTTCCTTGATGCACAACCTTAGCGTGATAGTGTAGGACAATCAACCTTGACACATGGTGCTTGGTTGGCAGAATTTTTGGATTCTTTAACGCTGGGTCCAATGAAGCATGTTTGAGGCGACCTCCAACCTTGATGAGGCTTTCATCCAAGAAGGGGTCAAGGGCCACAATGGGGCTAGAGCTGTGGATGGTTTTACTGGTTTGGAGAGCAGCATACTCATCAGGAAAGGCGTCCTTTTGAACAGACTGGAGAATGAGGTTACTGGCGGCATCCAACTCCTCTGGAGTGCGTGGTTCTCTGCATCTATGCCAGCCCCTACATGAATGATTTGACGAGTTGCTTGATGAGTGAGAACGAGCTTGGTGAACTAAGAAGGCAATGGCACGTACCAGTGACGTCCAGCTTGAAAAGCGTTGGAAGCGTTCTGGTGTGAGTCCGCTCTTCTGAGTCTGAGTAATGAAAGTACCAACTTGTCGGATTTCAGCGTCCACTCCAGGTTCAACCAGCTCAAATGATTCATGTGTCTCTGGTTCATGTAGTTTGTAAAGGAAGTCTGGTCCCTTAAACCACAGTGTCCATGAGCTGCGATGCTGGTACCGACCTGGTTGCTAGATCAGCTGGGGTTTGCTCTGATGTAACATAATGCCACTGTTCAGGGGATGTGGACTGGCGTATACGATGAACTCGATTATGTACGTAGACATAGAAGCGCTTTGAATCGTTGCAAATGTACCCAAGAACCACCTTGCTGTCACAGTAGAATTTGACAGTGTTTGGTTTATGATCAAGTTCATCCAGAATGAGCTCTGCCATCTCCACCGCTAGAACTGCTCCACAAAGCTCAAGACGAGGTATTGTGGGTTCTGGTTGGGGTGAAAGTTTTGCTTTCCCAAGCACAAATCCAACTTCACATTGTCCATCCGCGTTGACTGTTCTCAAATATGCAACTGCGGCAACATCCCAGCTTGAGGCATCACTAAAGACACACAGTTCAGTGTAAGTGAACTTGGAAAGGGAGGCCGGTACATAGCAGCGCGGCACTCTGAGGCTGCTCAGATCTTGGAGGGACATTTTCCATGTTTCCCATGCATCCATCTCCTCTTGGGGGAGAGAAGCATCCCAATCTTGGACTCCGTTTGACATTTTGCGTAACAAGAGTCTGCCTTTGATTGTCACTGGCGATGCTAGTCCTAAGGGGTCGAAGATGCTATTAATCACTAAGAGAACCCCGCGGCGGGTATAGGGTTTATCATCGACAGCTACCTTGAAGGTAAATGAGTCAGTGTTAATGTCCCAGCACATTCCTAAACTTCTTTGGGCCGGTAAAGCATCGTCGCCGAGACTCAAGTCTTTGATGCCGGAGGCCAAATCTTCTGGCTTGAATGCTTGCATGACTGTGACACTATTCGAGGCAATTTTGTGGAGCTTGAGGTTAGACTCAGCTATGGATGCACATGTGCGCTTGAGCAGATCGATGGCTACAGACTCTGTGGGAACTGAAATCAGCCCGTCATCGACGTAGAAGTGTCTCCCGACAAAGTGTCTTGTGTCTGCTCCAAACTTTGCCTCACCTTCTTGGATGGCTCTTCGAAGACAATAGATGGCTACTGCTGGTGACGGGCTATTACCAAAAACATGTACCCGCATAAGGTACTCCTGCACCTCTTTTGACAAGTCATTGTCCTTGTGCCACAGGAACCTCAAATAATCTCTGTGGTCTGGTCTAACCAGGAACCCGTAAAACATCTGCTGGATGTCAGCGGTGGTTGCAATGAGCTCCTTCCTAAACCGAATCAGGACACCAAGGAGGGTGTTATTGAGATCAGGGCCTGTTAATAACACTGAATTGAGTGACACGCCGGACTGCTCGGCACTAGAGTCAAAGACCACCCGTATCTGACCGGGCTTCTGGGGATGATATACGCTGAAAATAGGCAGGTACCAGCACTCAGTGTTCTCATCAATGGGTGGCGCAATCTCTGCATGGTTGTTTTTAAACAGCTTGTCCATAAATTCTGAGAACTGCTCTTTCATTTGAGGGTTTTTGGTTAAGTTGCGTCTCAGTGAGTTAAGTCTAGACAGCGCTTGGTCTCTGTTATTTGGAAGTGGCAAGCGAGGGGACTTGAATGGTAAAGGAGCAATCCAGTTATTGTTTCCATCCTGGTGGACTTCCTTTTCCATTATCTTAAGGAAGGTCTCATCCTCAAAGGACAGGGCATGCTGGTTGTCATACTCTGTGCGCTCAAAAACTTTCTCTCCAAGCTTTTCTTCTGCTGCGTTGAGTTTCGAACTGCGTTTTAAGAAGCAACTCTTGTGCTCCCCGCCATAGCATGGTTTTTCTTTGATCTTCATGCTGTTAGGACAAGGAGTGAGGAGAGATGGTCGTCCGTTGGAGAGCACGTGAGTTTTATAGGCATTGACCGTTGGCCTGTGAGCATTGAGGCATACTTCCCCCACGATTACCCAGCCTAGGTCTAGGCGCTGAGCAAAGGGAGCGTTGTGGGGTCCGTTGACTTGTTGTCGTGCCTTGTGGACTTGTATGATGTCTCTGCCCAGTAAAACTGCAATCTGGGCTGCTGGGTCGCGCTTAGGTATCAGGGGAGCCAGATGTTTCAAGTGAGCATGGGCAAGAGCGACTTCAGGTGTAGGTATTTCATCTCTGTTAAATACTATCTCATCACATTCAATGAGAGGAGGAAGATCTAGACGTGGGCCTTCACCTACAGGTGCTGGCCAGTAAATTAGAATATCATCAAAAGGTTGAAAATATTTCAGTAATTCCATTCAAAACGTGAAACATGTACATTATATTCATGCAATGCACACAGACCAATGTATTTCCAATGTTCATTACATTTAAATTTGATATTCATAAGTGACAACTAATGAAAACTCCAAATTTGGTATCTCAAAAAATTAGAATATTCTGAAAAGGCTGAATATAGAAGACACCTGCTGCCACTCTAATCAGCTGATTTACTCAAAACACCTGCAAAGGCCTTTAAAAGGTCCCTCAGTCTTGTTTTGAAGGCACCACAATCATGGGGAAGACTTCTGACTTAACAGCTGTCCAAAAGACAATCATTGACACCTTGCACAAGGAGGGCAAGACACAAAAGGTGATTGCTAAAGAAGCTGGCTGTTCGCAGAGCTCTGTGTCCAAGCACATTAACAGACAGGCGAAGGGACGGAAAAAATGTGGTAGAAAAAAGTGTACAAGCTCTAGGGATAACCGCACCCTGCAGAGAATTGTGACGACAAACCCATTCAAAAATGTGGGGGAGATCCACAAATAGTGGACTGCAGCTGGAGTCAGCGCTTCAAGAACCACCACGAGGAGACTCATGAAAGACATGGGAATCAGGTGTCGCATTCCGTGTGTCAAGCCACTCTTGAACAAGAAACAGCGCAAGAAGCGTCTCGCCTGGGCCAAGGACAAAAAGGACTGGACTGATGCTGAGTGGTCCAAAGTTATGTTTTCTGATGAAAGCAAGTTCTGCATTTCCTTTGGAAATCAAGGACCCAGAGTCTGGAGGAAGAGCGGAGAAGCACAGAATCCACGTTGCATGAGGTCCAGTGTAAAGTTTCCACCGTCAGTGATGGTGTGGGGTGCCATGTCATCTGCCGGTGTTGGCCCACTCTGTTTCCTGAGGTCCAGGGTCAATGCAGCCGTCTACCAGGAAGTTTTAGAGCACTTCATGCTTCCTGCTGCTGACCAACTTTATGGGGATGCAGACTTCACCTTTCAACAGGACTTGGCACCTGCACACAGTGCCAAAACCACCAGCACCTGGTTCAAGGACCATGGTATCCCTGTCCTTGATTGGCCAGCAAACTCGCCTGACCTTAACCCCATAGAAAATCTATGGGGTATTGTGAAGCGGAGGATGCAATACGCTAGACCCAACAATGCAGAGGAGCTGAAGACGACTATCAGAGCAGCCTGGGCTCTCATAACACCTGAGCAGTGCCACAGACTGATCGAGTCCATGCCACGCCGCATTACTGCAGTTATTGAGGCAAAAGGAGCCCCGACTAAGTATTGAGTGCTATACATGCACATTCTTTTCATGTTCATTCTTTTCAGTTGGCCAACATTAGAGAAACAAACATTTTTTCATTGGCCTTTAGAATATTCTAATTTTCTGAGATACCAGATTTGATGTTTTCATTGGTTGTCACCTATAAATATCAAATTTAAATGTAATAAACATCGGAAATACATTGGTCTGTGTGCATTGCATGAATATAATGTACAAGTTTCACGTTTTGAATGGAATTACTGAAATATTTTCAACCTTTTGATGATATTCTAATTTACTGGCCAGCACCTGTATAGGCTCAATCTGGAACCCCACTGCTTTCCTGCCGAGCATTTGAGTTAAACCAGCACACGTTCACATATGGTATTTCAGAGGGCTACCCTTGATTCCAAATAGCTCAAAGAATTCAGGACGTGCCAGCGAGCAATTGCTCTGATCATCAAGAATGGCGTCCATCTTAACAGACCGTTCTGGTTGACCTTTAGGGAAAACTCGAACTAGACACACCTTGGAGCAAGAACGCGGAGGACAGCCTTCACCACAGATCTCAGTGCACCGTGACGTTACCTTGGGTAGAGTGTTGTCATGGGGCTGAGGCTCTGGTTCAGGTGCATTTTCTGTCTGGGGTATTTGACCCGTGTCAGGGTGCATGGCAGAGCAATGTTTTTCACTTTGGCACTCCTCACACTTGACCTTCAGGTCGCAGTCCTTTATTGTGTGCATGGGATAACAACAGCAAAAACATCGTTTGTGTTCTTTGAGTATGTTTCGTCTTTCTTGTAGTGGTTTGATCCGGAAAGCTCTACATTTGGCTAGAGGATGCGTTTTCTTGTGGACTGGACAATAACGTGTTAGATCATCCTCTCTGATACTAGCAGAAGCACTTGTATCAACCTCTGTTCTATTTACAGTTAGAGGTGATTTGTAGCTAGTTTGTTTGAATGGTGGTCTCTCACCTTTGTTGAGGGGTTGGCTGCTGCACGACACAAAACTTGGATCGTTTCTCGCTTTTGCCTCCTCTTGGACAAACTTTACAAAGTATGAGAATGGAGGGAACATCACATTATAATTCTGTTTGTATTTTGAACCAGTGTGGAGCCATATATCTTGTAAGCTTGGAGGCAGCTTTTCCACTATGGGCTTAACCCCGCGTGGCGAGTCAAGGTAAGCAAGGCCTGGGAGGTAGGCTTCGTCTTTAGTGACCTGCAGCTCTAGGAGCAAATCTCCCAGTTCCCTAAGTTTAACATTGTCTCTATTTGTAAGGCGAGGAAAACCGTCCAGTTTTTTAAACAGGGCATTCTCTACTACTTCAGGTGTAGCATAACACTCCTCCAGCCTATCCCATGACAACTGGAAGGCAGCTTTGGGGCTACTGGTATAAACAGCCCGGATTCTTTTAACATGCTCTGAGGACTCTTTACCGAGCCATTTGACTAGGAGATCTAACTGCTGGCTGTATGTAAGATCAATGCCTCCAGTTGCATTTAAGAATGAAGACTGCCATGCTCTAAAATTTTCGGGGTTGTCATCAAACTTAAAGAGCCCTGTTGTGATTAACTCTCTGCGTGCAAGGAACTTAGCAAAGTCAGCCATAGGTGTATCACTATTGTGAGGAGCATGGTGACTTTTCGGTTCAACATACTCTCTTGGTGGGCCAAAAGTTTCCTCCTCTGTGTACATTTTTGAGAGTACAGGTGGAGAGCAGGTTGGCTCCCTTGGAGTGAATGATGGTGCCTTTGCTGTCAGTTTGACTTGAGGTGTTGCTTCTTCAGCCGGGTGTGACTTTAGCTGGCTTTGATGTTGCACATACTCCATAGTTCTCTGTCTGGTAACTTGTGGTGGGACTGAACTTTTTAAACTTTCTCCTTTTTCTTGTTCGACAGCTGCGGCAGCTTCCAGGACCTCTGCTTTTACCTTAGCGGCTACAGCTTTTTTTTCTATCTCTAACATCTGTAAATCCATTTCCAGGTTTGCTTGCTGCTTTTTAATTTCCAGTTGTCTCTTACTGTACAAGGCTTTGGTGTTTGTAGCTTCAGCAGAAGCTCTTGCAAAGATGGCTGCTTCTAATACACTGGACCTTGAGGACAACTTGGAAGATGAGCGCTTGGAGCCAGAGTATTTGGATTGGGAGCTAGCTTCTGATGATGCTTTGTCTCCTGAGTTAGCCATTTCTTCTGCCTTCTCCCCGTGGGCATCCATAGCTGTGGCATAAACTTTATCTTCCACCAACTGCTGACGTGACTTTTCACTGTACTGTTATCGCTACGTGTTGGATACACCGTGTATGTTAACGCAGGTCAACAGCAAGCCAAACTAATTTTTCATGAGCCAGGAAACTGAGCGTCTTACTCCTTTATTACGGTCTTCTCGACAGCTTACAATCTTTTACAATTGTGGCTTGAATAGCTCGATGAAAGTGCTGAGTGAAACTGAAAATAAACCAGAAATAAAATATCATTTAGCTCTTTAACATGTGAAATAAATGCATAAAAAGAAATATCTATTAATATAAAACATGTTTCAAAGTTAGTCTTAGCTGCTAAGTAATGAAAACAGTAGTTTGAACAATCCTCTGATATGCAAATTAGGCCGCTAGCATCATTGCTATGTTAATAGACCATGCTCTAAGCAAAAGCTGTTTCTGGGATAAGGCTAATTCCTGGAACAAACACATTCACAAAACGATCTCTAAATCAGCTGTTATGAACATATAAATCAACCAGAACATGTAATGAACTTACAGTCATTGCTTTCGATGGTGTATATAAAGATTCAGGGCACAGGAGATGAAGTTTAAACACGGATAAGCAGGCTTTCTGTACAACGTTTTTTCCCAACTGACTGTAGCTTCTGCTTCCCACAATGCATTGTGAACACAGATTACACCTTCAAAATAAGATACAGAAAAACTAATGCTGACTGTATAGAAAATATTTTTAACTAAATGACTCTCTTTTTTAACATCAATGACCACAGATGAAATATGACATTTTTATCACTAAATTATTATGAATAATTTTTAATCTTTTACTTGGGACAGAACAAAAAGAAAACCTCAAAGTCTCCCAAACACCATTGTCTTTCTCAAAAACCAAAATAAAATCTGAAAACAGTTACTCCTTGAATCTTGTCTCAATAAATCAACAAGATCCAGTCACACTTTCAGCTGACCAAGAGTGTGAACCATTGTCCTCCTTTCCGCCTGATTGTCACGGTTTACCTCCACCTACTGGTGGATTTTTCTGTTTTGTTTTGTGTTGCAGGTAGGCGCGGCAGACGGCACACCTGTTGGGTGTTTGACTAATTGAGGGAGAGAGGATTTAAGGAGCGGTGCGACTCAACTCCAGTGCCGGTTGATACTCTCACATGGGTATTTCTCTAGCCTCTGAACCTGCCAGCTTGTTTTGTGATTCCATGATTATAACCTTGAACTCCGTTCCAGTATCCTGTTCGTGCATCACCTACCTTGCCTGGAGTTGTTCCCACGTCTCGCCGCTCAACGATCCTCTGGACTCCTCTCTCTCCACGTCTGCCCGCCTGCCTCACGCTCTGAACTCCTCATCTGGTCCAACCTTCCTCAGTTCACCTCCGCTCTGGTTCCGATTCCTGACCGTAAGAACTCTCTCAGTCACAGACTCTTGTCCCCTGGTTCTCTGGTTCTGGTCTCGCTCACCTTCTGCTTATTTCCCCGTAGATTCCGGTCTCCTCCTGATCCTGATCTGAAGCAGCGCCTTTAGTTTAGTTTTGCCTATTCTGTTATTATTTTCTCATTGTAAATAAACCACCATATTTTTACTCACCGTCCCTCTGATGTGATTCTTCATGTCCTGGGTGAAAGCTCTTACCCACAGCATGACAGAATCAACCGGCCATATAAACACCCCCATTAAAGAATCACTTCCCGCAGCCTTAGCAAACACATTAACTCAGCATGAAGGATCCATTCGTTCCGCCCTCGATCAGTTGTCACTTGTTAACCAGCGTTTATTCCAGCTCGATTCCGCACTCCACCAGGTAAACGAGAGACTCACACCATCCTCTGTGGCTGTTCCTGTAGCTTCCCTCTCCGGCTCATCCTGAAGAACCGATGCAGATAGGTCGAGCGAATCTAACCCCTGAGGAGAAGGAGAGACGTCGCTCTTTGGGTCTCTGCATTTACTGTGGGCAGCCGGGGCACATGCTGCATTATTGTCCGGTTCGACCAAAAGCCAGGGCCCATCAGTAGAATCTGGGTTACTGATGGGTGGCCTTCCTGGAAATCAGAAATCCCGGTGCAGCTTAACATGTTCTGTTTCCTATAACCAACAGACTTTCTCAACCCAGGCGTTGGTGGACTCTGGATGTGACAGGAGTGTTCTGGACATAACAGTGGCTCGACATCTCAACATTCCCACCATTCCTCTCTCTACCCCCATCCGTGTTTCCTCATTGGATGGCTGTTCTCTCACAACCATAACTCATCGCACTGTTCCAGTTACTATGCAGATTTCGGGTAACCATCACGAGACTTTGAGCTTCTATATTTTTCCTTCACCTCAATCGCCAGTGGTTTTGGGTCATGAATGGTTAATTTTACACAACCCACAGATAGACTGGAAAACCGGGTTGGTTTCTGTATGGAGTTCCTTCTGCCTGTCTCAGTGTCTCCTTTCAGCTCCTCTTCCAGCCCAGATCACCAATAACACCCCTCCGGAACCACCTGACCTTACTGGGGTGCCCGCCGAATATCACAACCTACAACAAGTCTTCAGTAAGGATCGAGCCTCCTCTCTACCTCCTCATCGCCCGTATGATTGCAGTATTGACCTCATCCCGGATGCCATCTTACCTACCAGTAAGCTATACAGCCTGTCTAAACCCGAACAAGCCTGCATGTCTGATTACATTTCAGAATCCCTAACGTCCGGAATCATATGACCATCCACTTCTCCCCTGGGTGCTGGATTCTTTTTCGTTTCCAAGAAGGATGGCTCGCTCCGCCCCTGCATATACTACCGTGGTTTGAATCTGATTACCGTTAAGAATAAGTATCCACTACCTCTCCTATCTTCCATGTTAAATGATGCTTCAATTTTTACAAAATTAGATCTGCGCAACGCCTACCATCTGGTCAGAATTCGTGAGGGTGACGAATGGAAGACGGCATTTAAGACACCGTTAGGTCACTTCAAATATCTAGTAATGCCATTTGGTCTCACCAACGCACCTGCTGTATTCCAGTCCCTAGTCAACTCAGTGATGGGCGATTACATTAACCAGTTCGTGACAGTTTACCTGGACGACATCCTCATTTTTTCCAAAAACTTGACTGAACATCGCCAACATGTCCGCGCGGTGCTCCAGCGCCTCCTGGAGAACCGGCTGTATGTTAAGGCGGAGAAATGTGAATTTCACGTTCCTTCAGTGAAATTCTTAGGTTTTGTGCTGGAACATGGGAAACTAAAGACTGATCCTGATAAGATCGCTGCTGTCTCGTCCTGGCCCACTCCGACTACCCGTAAGCAGCTCCAGAGGTTCTTAGGTTTTGGCAACTTTTACCGCAGATTTATTCGAGACTACAGCCGGATAGCTCTTCCATTAACCCAGCTCACCTCCATCAAGAGAACATTTCTATGGACTGAGGAGGCTAACCAGGCTTTCCTTACTCTGAAAGAGAGATTCGCTCACGCACCTATCCTCACTCGCCCGGATCCATCAGCTCCATTCACCATGGAGGTTGACGCTTCTGACACCGGGGTTGGAGCTGTCCTGTCCCAAGTTTCAACCTCTGATCAGCTTCTCCCTCCCTGCGAGTTCTATTCCCGGCGTCTTTCCCCAGCCGAGCAGAACTATGATGTTGGTGATCGGGAGTTGTTGGCGGTGAAGCTGGCTTTGGAGGAGTGGCGTCACTGGTTGGAAGGAGCAGAACACCCGATTACCGTTTGGACAGATCATAAAAACCTATCATACCTGAAGGAGGCTAAAAGACTCAATCCCCGTCAATCCTGTTGGTCCCTGTTTTTCTCCAGATTTAACTTTACCATCTCTTACAGACCCGGTTCAAAGAACGTTAAACCAGATGCCCTTTCTCGACAATATGCCTCCGACAGGGAAGTGGAGCCTTCCACCATTATCCCTGCCTCCTGCATAGTCGGCTCTATCACATGGGACATTACCAACAAGGTCCTGGAGGCTCAACGGCAGAAACCCGACCCTGGTACCGGTCCTCCTAATAAGATTTTTGTTCCCACCAGCACCCGGGGCCCACTCATTCACTGGGCCCACACCGCCAAGTTCTCCATTCATCCAGGTCTGGGAAGGACCATCTCTCTAATCAGAAGGACATTTTGGTGGCCCTCCATGTACCGGGATGTTAAGGAGTATATCAGTGCCTGTCAGGTATGTGCCAGACACAAGTCTAGTAACCAGCCTCCTCAGGGTCTTCTCCAACCTCTGCCTGTGCCCCATCGACCATGGTCTCATATTGCTCTGGACTTCGTTACTGGTCTTCCTCTGTCTAAGGGCTTCACCGTCATACTCACCATTGTCGACCGCTTCTCAAAAGCCTGTCATCTGGTTCCCCTGAAATCCCTTCCTTCTTCTACCGAAACAGCCAACCTGCTCATCAAACACCTTTTCCGCCTGCATGGATTACCCAGCGAGATCCTCTCTGATCGTGGACCTCAGTTCGTTGCCCGAGTGTGGACTGACTTTGCTAAACACCTGGGAGCCAAGGTTAGTCTCACCTCTGGTTTTCACCCTCAGACTAACGGGCAGGTGGAGCGCATGAACCAGGAACTGGAGGCTATGCTGCGCTGCATCTGTTTCTCCAACCCTGCCGGATGGAGTGTGCAATTACCATGGGTGGAATACGCCCATAACTCCCACACGTCGTCATCCACAGGTCAGTCTCCCTTCGAGGTCTCGCTTGGGTACCAACCCCCTCTGTTTCCCTCCGACTCTGCTTCCTCCACCTCAGTTCCTCAGTTCCTGCGCCGAGCCCGCCGCACTTTGAATCAGACCCGTGCAGCGCTCCAGCGTACCGCGGAGCGCAATCGCCGGATTGCTGACCGCCACAGGCGGCCTGCACCCACCTACACTCCGGGTCAGTTGGTCTGGCTCTCTTCCCGGGACATCAAGGTTCGTGGATCTTGCCGGAAGTTCTCTCCCCGCTTCCTGGGTCCTTTCCCTGTGGCCGAAGTCCTGGGTCCGGTCTCTGTCCGCCTGGAGTCCCCCCCCCTCCATGCGGGTGCATCCAGTCTTCCACGTCTCCCTCCTCAAGCCGGTGGTGTCCAGCCCTCTGTGCCCTCCTGACGCTCCTCCTCCGCCTGTCCGCCTCGCCGACGGGAGTGTCGGTTACCGTGTGCGTCGCATCCTGGATGTTCGACCGCGGGGTCGCGGCCGGCAATTCCTGGTAGACTGGGAGGGCTACGGCCCCGAACACCGGCAGTGGGTGCCTGGGTCCTGGATCGATGATGTCTCCCTCATTGATGACTTCGAGGCCTCCCGTGCTTCCTCCTCCTCCGCCTCCTCCTCCTCTGCTGGGCCGCCGGGTGGCGTCCCTTGAGGGGGGGGGGGCACTGTCACGGTTTGCCTCCACCTACTGGTGGATTTTTCTGTTTTGTTTTGTGTTGCAGGTAGGCGCGGCAGACGGCACACCTGTTGGGTGTTTGACTAATTGAGGGAGAGAGGATTTAAGGAGCGGTGCGACTCAACGCCAGTGCCGGTTGATACTCTCACATGGGTATTTCTCTAGCCTCTGAACCTGCCAGCTTGTTTTGTGATTCCATGATTATAACCTTGAACTCCGTTCCAGTATCCTGTTCGTGCATCACCTACCTTGCCTGGAGTTGTTCCCACGTCTCGCCGCTCAACGATCCTCTGGACTCCTCTCTCCACGTCTGCCCGCCTGCCTCACGCTCTGAACTCCTCATCTGGTCCAACCTTCCTCAGTTCACCTCCGCTCTGGTTCCAATTCCTGACCGTAAGAACTCTCTCAGTCACAGACTCTTGTCCCCTGGTTCTCTGGTTCTGGT